GGTGGCTGCTGATTACCCACGTTCTCTCCTTGAGCATGGAAGAGCCGGTCTCGGAGCTGTTCGATCAGGAGCTGAAACAAACCATGCTTTAGGAGAAGAGTCTTGCGAGAGACTCAGATGGAAGGTGCTGGGATTCAAAGCAGACCCTGACCCAAAGCATTGAGCATCAACCTGCAAAGCTAACTATTTCCCCAATAGCCACCAGGAAAAAAAAAAAAAGCCATAACCAACAATCTGGGACATCACCTGCCACATTCCCAGGCAGATGAAGTCTCACCGATCCTTCCCCCCGTCTTTAGAGTATTCCCACCCCAACCCCTACCCACATTTGGGCACTACACAGATTTGTTTCAAACCACAAGGTGACTTTCCCATTCCCTTCCTCAACCAGCTAGTTTCAGGAATAGATGCAGCTTCCCTGGAGAGCTGCTTCCCAGCACTGTTCTCCAGGAAACATTTTACAGTTCCACAGCTCCCTTCCTTTTCCCTGAATCAAAGGCACTACAAACAAAAAGCAAATGAAGACAAAACGTGTCCTAGAAAAAAAACAATAAGCCAAAAAAAACCCAAAAAACAACATCCCACCCCCCTCAGGTTATCACAATTAAGGTGAAAATTTAAGTCCTGATGCATGTCGAAACCCCATCTCTCTCTCATATAAAGTATCATTTTTCCCCACATACTATTCTTTTCCCACGGCAACCCATTTCTCACTCACCTCTTTAGAGCTGCTGGGTAGGTAATTCATTGCAGCTGCCAAGCATCCTTGAGATGCCAGGAGACTGGCATATTGGGTGATTCGTTCTGCCAAGACCGGGCCTGGCGCTGGTCCTGCTGCACCTCGGAGCATCTCAATGGACCTGCTCAGTACCATCACCTTCTCTATGAGATCCTGAATAAGACAGGGCGAGGGAAGAAATAGACCACTCGGAATCCGACTGGCTTTACTGGTCCATCTCATGCCGAGACACCAGATGACTCTCCCCACTTTCAATTGACATAGGGTCCAACGTGAACAGAACTTACTCCACTCTGCACCAGACACTGTCACTAATAACTGTTTCCTCAGGTAGAGTATGTGGAAAAAAAAAAAACCACAGGAACCAGGAAGCAACCCCTGACAGTGCTACTTTTATGATAAGGGTAAAAAGAAAATCAGAAGCCACAAGAACATTCCAATCAACTGTGATCTTTTTACTAAGAAGTTACTACTGTAACTCTAGAAGTCACAAGCTATCAGCTTGGAAGAAGAAAGATAAAAATCACACCAGGAGAAATTCACTAGGAAAAACCACTACTGCTGACAAACAGACCAGAAGGTTTCTAGTTATTCAAAGCTCCTTCAACTCCTAGAAATCAAAGTAATGTTTGTATCTGTAGAATGATACATGTATCACCAGCTGATAAATGATAACTGGGAGGAGGCCAGTTTCAAACATAACCAGGAATGCTGAAAATGCCTTTATGTTGCTATTACTCACTAGTGGGGTTGCAAAACCAGGGAACTCTGTAGCAGAGGGTATTATCTGCAGATATCTGAGTGGAAGACTTATCTAGTTCATTCTAGTGACTGGTGGACAGTGACTTAGCCAGGACTGGTTTAAGTGTAACAGACAGGTAACAACACTGACTTAGAAGCTCTGATTCATCTGCAAGCTGTGACTTGCCAGACACGATCATTCTACTTGCAATGGGAATAACATAGTCTAGACTTTATTTTATTTTGCCAGAGGCTGCTCTGAAGGTACAGCCAGATAACTGGAGCACTACAGTTAGCCAAGTACAGCAGCACACATACTCCCAGACAACTACCAAAAGGAAGCTCAGAGACGACATCAGTATACAGAGAGGTGGGTAGGCTGTAACTCTGGTCCATGGCTGGATTTATGTGCAATGTAATCAGTACTCTCTAAACACAAAAACCCTTAACATTTAAGAATGCAAGCCTCCTTTAGATGTAAGCCCGTAATCCAGGCTAGAAGGAGATACCTTGGTGCCCATGAACAGGTCTCCACTGTCTGCTGGAAGCCAGATACTCCGTTTGATGGGATAATGCAAACAGATTACAGCTACCAGACTGGCCTAAAGAGGAGTCAAACCAACATTATAGCACCTGTACCTGCAGGGCAAGGGGCGATGAAGTCTCATGGTTTTTTACCCAGCATTCCACCAACCTCTCCACATTGCCTGATGAGATATAGCAAAGGCAGGCATCATTGGACAGGGCTGCATCTCCCTCCGACTCTAGGCGGGCACCCAGCATGTCTAGAGAGGAAGAAATACAGCCAACATTTAACACACTCTCTTTATAAGGAGCTCATTAACCCCAATGCTCATCTCTTAGCAATCCTATTCTGGCTTGGCATGAAAAAGTGTTGACAGCTTTGGATCTGCACCTAATTAGAATTATAAAATCATTTAGGTTGGAAAAGATCTTTAAGATCATTGAGTTCGACCATAAAACCTAGCGCTGCCAAGTCCTACTAAACCATGTCCCTAAGCACCACATCTACCCATCTTTTAAATACTTTCAGGGATGGTGACTCAACCGCTTCCCTGGGCAGCCCATCCAGTGCCTGATAACCCTTTCAGTGAAGATTTTTTTTTCTAATGTTCAATCTAAACCTCCCCTGGTGCAACTTGAGGCCATTTCCTCTTGTCCTATCGCTTGTACTTGGGAAAGAGAGACCAACACCCATCTCGCTACAAGCTCTTTTCAGGTAGCTGTAGAGAGCAGTAAGATGTCCCCCAGACTCCTTTTCTCCAGACTAAACAACCCCAGTTGCCTCAGCTGCTCCTCATAAGACTTGCTCTCTAGATCCTACACCAGCTTTGTTGTATAGTTCTTTGGTTATACAGAGAAATGGGCATCATTAAGGAATCCCAAAGCCAACTTGGTTGAAAAAAGAAGTAATTTTTTTACATATCTGCCAATTTTTATATGTCTGCCCAGATGCATAGAAGAAAGAAAAACCCTTAAAAATGACAGATTAATTCAGTGAAAAACTCCAACATTTTTCTTTTCCAAAGAGGTGTGGGTATCTCCAGGCAACAGTAGCGTCCAGTTTGTTCAGGGACAAACCAGTAATCTGGTAGTTGCCAATGTTTAGCAAATGCTAGGAAATAAGGGCGAGCTGGAACTATCTCACTGCCACAGCCACCTTCCACCCCTACAATTTTGTCTGTAAAAGATGTCATGTTTTCTTGCATTTCAAGTTGTGTCACTGTACATGTATAAAGCGCTGGCATTTCTCCAACAGCACTTAGCTGTTCCCATCAGCCAGGAGCCAGTTCCCAGCTAAGCAACATGAGTAACTTCAGATTCAGTCACTTGCTTGCTGCCTAACTCTCAGAACAACAAGTTGCTGAGCATGTGGGACTATTAACAGGACTGAGGAAACTACTGAAGCCATCAAACATTCATTAACCCCTGTTTCTGATCTTAAAAGGGAAGGGAACGTGCTGGAAGGATAAACCTCTTTCAGATGGAGTGAAGCCACCTGACCTTTCACTGTCAAGGAAATCCGTTTCTCCCCAGAATGAAATAATAAATATCACCCTCTTAGTGTCTCAGCCTAGTGCCTATCCTGTTTTTTCCATGCGATCGGTAGAGGTGACAGGAAATACCAGCATATATAACTTGACACCATGATTCTCAGCTACAGTGTGCATCTCTCATTCTCCTAACTCAACAGCCCATGCTTATTAAATGAAGTTCCAGCTAGCTGTAATGAGCAAGGAGTGCTTTCCTTCCTCAACTGTATCCAATTCTTTTTGTGAGCAGTCCAGCGGTGCCCCCCCCTAAGGGAAATCACATCACAACATAGTATGCTGCATACCGCAGAGCTGGGTATAGTCCTCATGCTTTGAGTATGTTAACAAGATGGCCAGTGCCTCCTTCCAGCTCTGTAGATCACACGTGCAAACAATATCTTGCCAGTTCTGTTGCACAATGGAGGAAAGCAGCTGTAAGGGAAGCAGAAGGCCTGTGAATCACTGAAGACAAAGATAAGCTGACTGCTTAAGCAAGTGCACCCACAGCAATAGCTCACTTTCAGGCACACTTCACACTATGCAGCAACTACCTCACCGTACATTAAGAACCACCAATCCCAGCATCCCAATGTTAACAGTAATTGGAACCCAATGCCTCTGAAGAAAATAAAAAAGCCCAACAAAGCACTTAAGAGAATATGGAAATAGCCACACTAGGCAAGACTAAAGATCTATCTAATATCCCATTTCAGAGCAGCTAGTATCAATGACTGGGAATATAGTGTTAGGATATCCCAACCCCTGTTACACTTCCGCATTTGTAAATTAATAAGCTAGGTTCTTCCTAGCTGAGCCGTAAATGGACAGTATGCTCCACAAGTTACAAGCATGGCAAGCTGAGCCAGAAACCATCAGGTTAAAAAAAAAAAAAAAAAAAAGAACCAAGATAGAATCATAGAATCATAGAATCGCTTTGGTTGGAAAAGACCTTTAAGATCATCGAGTCCAAACTTTAACCTAACCCTGCCATCCCACCACTAAACCATGTCCCTAAAATATACTACAGTAAATGTTGAGTCAAGAAAAGATGCACAGATTCTGCTGACATTCTACCTCCTGCCAAAGCATTTCCACATATATTCAAACATCTGCCAAGATACCTGCTCAGTGGGTGCAGAAAACTGTCACTTACCAGGGAGAGTTTTGTCTTCCGCTTAGCAAAGTAGCGCTTCTGGGTCTCCTTTAGGAGGTTCTCCCCACCAGCTATAGCTAAGATGATGGCATCAGCAAAGCGCTCTGCTCGCATGCACAGCTCCACTGCACTCTCAAAATTCCCCAACAAAAGGGCTTGGCTGATGAGTCCATCCGTATCTACAGAGGTGAGAAGCAGAGTCAACCCACAGGGGCACCATCCAGATGCACTGATGATGCTTGTTTTAAAGAACAGGCAGTAAAAACCAACAATATATGGAAGCTCAGCTAAACCAAAATTTGGAAACCCAAGTCAGGTTTTGCACTTTAAAAGAACCACTGACTTGACTGTAAGTCTTCCATCATCTAGAAGATTCTCCTACATTTTTACTGGGTCTCTTATGTAGGAAGAGTGTTTCTCTGTACACTGCTGCATGACACTGGGAGGGGCCATGTGTTTAAAATGATCCATCTGCTGGAGTGGACCAGATTCTTCCTGGTTTCTAATTTTCTGGTTTTCCCTCCTCTCCCCTTTTCCTAAGACAGCAGAAACACACTTCATGTAACATACCTTCCGTGACAGGAATCTCCAATGTGCTCATATTCTGTGGGATGAGGTTGTCAAAAAAGGCTGAAGAGGAGGAAACAGCAGCTGCATCATCACTGGAATCTATCAAAAGCTGTTCAAAGAGTACAAGAGATTAATTAATTCACAGATCCTGCCCAAAACAGTTTAGTGGATTACAGAGTAGGATGGGGCTGCCCCCCATTTGGTTGAGCACGCTCATACAAATCTGATTTCAACTTGGAAACCCACCATGCCTCCTGTCACTGCTCTATCAACCTGCACAGTTTCACCAGGGCAGCAAGAAAAGCAGTGCTGCTATTGATAAAGCTTTGGAGACTGACAGTATAAGACATGCAATGCCAACAGTATCGCCAGCCAGCATTCATCAACTCAACTGCCAGCCCTTGAGGAAGCTGAACAATTTTGGATGGAATAGGGACAGGCCCAACAGTGGTATCTGTAACTAATGGGTAGAATCACAGCTGTGCTTGGTGCTCTATTGAAATTCAGGACACAATTGCTACCCCTAGAATATCTCAGCAAGTGTTTAAGGTTTGTGAAGAAGATTACTAATTTGAGGATAGCGGTTTTAGATACCTTAGAGGAGCAAAATTTACAGTGCGTGGTGAACCAGGCCTTGGAAGGCATCTTGAAGACAGACATCCCAAAATCATGTGAGAATACATTTCAAAGGATAGAGGTGAAAAGGAAAGAAATGCAAAAGAAATACCACAGCAAAAGTTTCACAGAGGAAATTCAGAACTGTGGCATGAAGCTGGGGTGAGGCTAATTCTGTCACTGAAGAAATCAGCACTGGTGAAGTAAGCCTTCTTGCAGTGCTAACAGCGAGAAGTCAGTCTTCATCATTCACTGATTTGTTTTAAAGCCAGAAGGGACCACTACGATCGTTTAGTCCGACCCAGTGAGGGTATGACCGATCTGTGAACTGCCCTCTGCAATGCCTGCACTGAGCCCAAGAACTTGTGGTTGGAATTAGACCTTCCTGTTCATTCTACCCTCCACCACTCTCCCAGGCTGGCAAGGTACCTGATCTGGTTGCGCAGCATTTGTCTCATCTGCCTCAGGAAGGCGCTGTTTATCTGGGATCCCATTACTCAAACATGAGGTGACCTAGAAAAGTAACAGACATGCACAGAGTGAAGACCCTATCAAAGTTAAACACATGGGCAGCAAAGCCACCAAGTGACTGGCAAGCCCCAGACACAATTCCCTTGGCTCTTTCACCTGTTTGAAAAGTTCCACGTCTCCCTATTCCTGGCTTGCTGTCTATCAGAGGTTATTTATCCTTTTCAGAGCGTTGCCCATGGTGCTGCAAGAGTTTCCTCCCCTGCAGCTCCATCAGTGCTATGCCAGATTGTGTTCATCTGTCACCTTCTTCCAGGCTGAGGAATCCCTTGAGATACAGAGTGCTGGATGCTAGAAGCAGCTCTCAAAACTGCACTGCTGTTATACACTTCCCTGAGCACCAACAACTGGAAGCAAGATAACTGGGCTCAAGGCCCTTTTGGTTTGATCCAGTACAGCTACAGTTGCCCTTACAAGTGCCTACATTTGCTTTTCAACGGGGGATACTGAGGTGCCTCTCAGCTGAAATTTCATATAGTTTGGTCTTTTGTGTGCTGTGAGATCACTCACTCATTTCCAGTAGGGACCCTAAAATTCTCCTGCAGCAGCTTTAGTCCTGTAAATGTTTCTCTCTATTGGAAAGATCCCTTACCTTTTTTTGCAGATCCTCTTTACTGTAGCCCAGCAGCTTGAGGAGTTTAGTCCTGGACTCCTGCTCCAGATTCACCTGAGTCCCAAAGGACATTAAAAAGACAAGAAAATATATAAAATCCTAGACATCTACACACTGCCAACAGTTGGCTGCTTCTAGCAGCAAAGTTTAGAGCTCAGTTTATAGATAAAGAACTCAACTATGACAAGTACACCTAATTAATACTGCAGGAAAATCTATGGAACTTAAGTTATAATCATGAAAAAAGGTGAAATTCAAGCTTGTCACACAGTTATAATTGAGGTACAACTGCCTATAAGGGCTATGACTGTATAAATACCTAGTGTACTTGGTCGTTAGTTCCCTGGATTGTCTAGGAATTGCCAAGCTAATCTATGCATAGAGACAATGGACTGATTTGAGCCCAGATGAAACTGAGACAAGGTGGTTGTCTGAACTAGCTGGCTTCACAAAAATTAGTTAGCTAATTGTTACAGAAGCTCCCTGGGTAGGTATTTCAGACAGTTCCAGAGATTCCTCACAGACTGCACACAGCCTAATTGATAGGCACTATTTGTATGCCTTAACGCATGATCAACATTCTGCAAGGAGAATCTGTCTGTCTCAGTAGGTCCCAGGCTGTTCCTACTGCAGAACTGATGACACTGTACATGGACAAGATACTTGTAAATAGTCAGTAGAAACTGTTTTTGCAAATCGAGAAATGGTCATGCAGGACAGTCTTTTGTACAGAAGCTTGGTTTGTAGTTTAAGACAATCAATAATAATAGATATTGTATGTGTTGGAGTGGTCTCACAGGACCATGGGCCAGCTGGATTATAAAAATTCACTAGAACGACAGATCGACACATCTCATCCAATGCAGCTGAAGACACTGTTGCAATGACCCCTGCAATGGAGACTACTGTCACCACCTAGACAACACCTGCCCATCCTATTCAAGAGATATGATTCCCCATGCAAATGTAATACTATGGAAAAGATCCCAACATCTTGCCACACACACAGTCTGTCTATGAGTGTCTGTAAACCACTACCAAGGCTAAGCCCTGCCTCTCCAGGAGGGCGGCCACTCCTCATTACCAAACTCTTTCATGTTACCAAATTGTCAATTAAACCATCGTCCTATGTAGGGCTACAGTCAGTTCTCAAACCAGCACAGCTCTCTCCCTTATTACTAGGGAATCTCATTTCCCATTTGGGCTTTGCCTTGAAAAATAGTAATGGCAGAGCTCCACAGGTAGCAGGCAGATATAGCTTGGCAGTGGGTTGAGATGAGAAAATCCTGTTTAGCACCTTGACAGGAAGCCCAAACGAGTCTGTTGAAAAGACCATTCCTACTGAAATAAGACAATCTCCAAGACCTAAACTGCAAAAACTTTTCTTTAGACAAGTAACTAACTAGCCTATTCAGTTCCATTTTGTATCTTAAAGAACAGGAATATAAAACGCTCAAGAGGACCACAATGAACGTGTTCCATATTCACACATCCTGAACATATTCAGGACCATAGAAGAACTGACTTCTGTGATTCACCACAGCCATCCTACCTTCAAGAAGTTCCAGAGGTTCTCATCAAATGGCAGCTTGGCTGTTTGGATCTTGCCCTGGCAGTAATCAAGGAGGTTCCCTGACTGCAAGGCCATCTGCAGTTCTCTGGATCGGAGCAGGAATTCGGTTTCAGTAGTGACCTGACTGATGAATACCTGGTGTGGGTAAGTCTGCTGCATTTGCTGTCCAGGAGCTTTGGTAAGACCAAAGGTAATCAGTTTTCCTCCAAACTGAGAAAGACAGAGGGAGACACAGTAAGCATTCTTATAAACAATGTAAAAGCAACTCACTTAGCTCTTCATTTAGAAAGGTGGGCTCAAGGTCCAGCTGTGAACACAAGGAACCCACACAGTTTAATGTGTATAGATGGTAGGGACACTGAGGGAGTACACATCACAAGCCCATCAGCTGAAGACTGATAACCATGACACTTGTGTATGTGCTATCAAGCCTAGCCAATTGCAAATGCCAGAGAGGCACAGGGGAGAAAGTACCATTTGGAACTGTTTATTCTTTTCTGACATGGAGAGGCAAGCTGCATTAATAAAAACTATCATGTGAATGGCAAGCACTAGACAGAGAACAAGTCGAGCAACAGACTAAAAGAACAGTTCAGCCTTTTGATTTAGGAGCGAAGAGGTGAAGAAAATTAAATACCTGGATAGGAATGAGAAAGACAGAGGAGAATAGGAATGCATGTCACAGCCTACAAGTAAAGCTTTTATGAGACTTCCTTAGCTTTAACTCTTACTTATAACCTCCCATTCTGTGCTACAGAACTCCATCTTGTTGGAAATGTATCTGAATGTTGAGCAAAAGACCTTTGCTCCATAGGACACCACATTGCACCTTAAAAAGGCATTACAACAACTAGGAACGGGAAGATAGTTTCTCTAGTGAAAGAAAAGGACTGTATCACAAGATGACACATCTGTTGCATTTTAAGCTAAGGATGCTTATTCACTTACTGCAAATGAAACCCCCACAGGTCTGCGAATCCATTTGGGTGGCTTTTTTAATGGTGGAATCAAGGTGGTCTGAGCTACTTGCTCCGGCACCTGCAGAGGAGGAAGGATCTGTCCCGTGCCAAAGGGATCCAGGTTGTTGAAGGAGGAAGAGATCTAGAATCAGATGGAGAAAGGAATGAGATATAATTCAATTCCTCTCTGTACGGAGTAAGGACAAAAGCTATTGCTTAGTAATTAGTTATTTTCCTTGCTGATGAAGAAAGAGGCTATTACAGCACCTCCTCCCGGAATACCACTAAGCCCCAATGTGCAAGAAATGGTATTTCCAAATGGTTCCAGAATTCATTTCTCAAGAAAACTTCACCTTGAGAGATTTTGAAGTAATTTTTCCTTAGCAAGACAAAAATTCCCTAATAAACACTGCTTGGCCTAGCACCCAGCTCATAAACACAGGAATTACAAAATTACTAGTTTTATGCAAGACAGTGACAACATCTTTCAAATGGGTTAGTTTTTTAAGGACTGTCGCAAAATTTTATAGCTTAGATGAGGCTGGTGAAATAATCTCTCAAGACTTTTTTTGCCTAGGCAAGAGAGTGTCAAAAGTGGCCCCTGATCTGGATTTCTGACATTTAGGAAGTCAGTGAGCAGACATACAATACTGTTCACAAGCATTCTTAATTTTTAACATTGTTGGCATAGATTTGTTGTTTGCCAAAGATAACCCTGTTCAAGTTTGACTGGACCATAGGGCATAGCTCCAAAATACAGCTGACCAGCATACTTGAAAGGAAACAACATAAGGCTGATCAAGCTAAGGTCACCAAACAAAGAATCACAGACAAGACCTACATGTTTTGTCTTTCAAGTCTTTCTTGATGGGAAACCAATTCCAAAATAAAGACCATTTCCTGGAGGAACAGCTTATACCCAACAGAACAATCACCCTAAACCTTCAAAAAATAAATACACGCTACTATGGTACCAGTAACATCAACCACCAGGTCTTCAACAGAGTTTCTGTCCTGATACCATAGAATCCAGAAGAAAGAGACCTCTTGGTCACAAACTCCCGACCTCCATACTGTCATTATCTCCTCTTATTTGTGTCCTTACTTGTTATTCTATTTATCTAGGAGTTATTCTACCCGACTGTTCTCCAATTTTGAATAGTGGAACTGTGGCGCATGCACATGAAAGTAAATTCTCCATGGGTTAAATAAATCCTTAATCTCTTACAGCTGTTGCTTGATAAAGTATTTTCAGTTTCATAGGATTTGCAAGAGACAGAACTCAGTCAGCTGTAAATGACTATATAAATAACACTGAAGCCAGCTCATACATATTCTCTTAAAACTTGTATTGTAAGGCATTTGTTGGCTGGGAAAGAGGGAGAGAATTAGAAGACTAGACACCAGATTAAAACTAACATTTTAGACAGTACTAACTTTTAATCTGTTCAGAATTTGACTATTGATTCATTGGCTAAGTAATGGATTTCAGTATCAAAATACTAACATGCTCCAAGATAAGTCAATTGACTTGAGGAAAATTGCTAATAGAGGCTTATAAGCTGCTACTTAAAATTGTCTTCTGAACTAATAAAGAATAATGTATTGCATTAGTATCAATGTATTTAATTTTAACCTAATGACAAGACAAGCTTGTTGCTCTAACAGGTGTGCTGCTTTAATTTTAGTCTCACAGTAATAACCATAAAATATATATAACATCAAAACTACACTTGATCTTGGCTCTCTTTACACAGTTTAATGAATTTTACAAGAAATACTGAGACACCTTTGTCAAGAGGCAATGTAGTCCCCACACAGGTAGCTTCTTGTTCCCACACCATACAGCTATACATCCTGGTGGGTGGGACAGCCTGCATCACTTAAAAATCACACTGTTATATATGTGTGCGTCTAACACTCTCAAAAGATAGGTAACTGCCAATCTGTCAAGCTGTAACACATCCACAGGACTTTACCTTGTCAGCCTGTGTCTTCTGCTGAGCTTCTAAGTTCCCACCCATAACAGAGTAAATGTTGATCCACCCATCAAAAGTGGCAGCAGAGAAGACAGAAGGATTCCTAGGACACCACTGGGCATCAAAGCACCACTGACTCCGTATGGGCAACTCGTAAACCACCTATCATAGAAAGAGAGAAGGCAGAAGCACAACATGCATAGTCCCCTGCTTTCCCCAAATTACTTGCCCACAGCAAGTGTGTCACCCTTTATTTACATATCACCATTGTATACAAGTCTCTTATTTTTGCTTCTTGAAGGACACATTTGCAAACGAATTATAGCACATTGAGACCAAACAGCAGAAAGCCACAGAAAGCTGATGTACAATAGGACTCTGACTGTAGAAGAAAAATCCAAAAGCAACAAGTCGGTTTTGCTCTGCTTTATATGTACTACTGTATCGGAGTACTACAGTGTCCTCACACTTGCTGTTAACCAAGGGAAACACACCAAGGAAACAACACAAGAAAAACAGAAGCCAAAAGGCAAGAAGGTGTCATGAGCAAGAACATGTAAACAGAAAGAATAGTCTGGAATAACAAATTTGACTAGGAAAATAAAAGCCTACAGAAAGAAGTAGAACAACAGGAGGACTGCAAAGCTGCAAATGAACTATGAAGGATATTGCAGCCAACAAGTTTCTGTTCCAGCACTCAAAAATCCAAAGTTCAATTCATGGCCCAGTCAGAGACTTCCTGCCTGATGTTGGGCAACTCGCTAACACAACCTTGAATTTGAACCTCCAGTTTGTAAAAATGAAAAGACTTCCTTTATGCCTCACAGGCACAAAGCACAGAGAATCACAGCTTCCTTCTCTGTGGGAACATGATCTGTATTTTCTGTTCCCAGGTATAAAAGCTTGCATTTGCTTATATTAAAAGCTAGATTGCTAAATTAAAAAAAAACCCCACCCACCCAAAACCAAAGAAAATAACCCTTCCCCTGAACTTACCAGATCTGCCATTCTGTGTAACTGTATCATCCTTACTACTGAAGGCCTTCCCGATTTTTATATCGCCTGAAAATTTTCTGTTAATTTGTAACAAAGTCAAGAAGAGCCCCCTAACAACAGTTTATGCATAAATCTCTAACTGCAAATCTACAGCAGCATGCATAAAGATGAGCCAGCTGCACTAAAACTGGGGGGGTTTCTTTAATTTTCCCATTAAAACACAGTGAAAAGACTTTTGTAAAAATTAGACATCGGGATTGTTTCAGAGTCTGATTCTCTTCTAACCACTAGGCATCTGTGTAGAGTGACCATCAAATCCCCTGGAACCACAACAGCAGTATTTCATGCATTTTAGGAAAATGGATTAATTTTTTTCCATCCCTCCAAGGCAAAGGTGGTGACCTAAGTGAAATTGTCCCATGAAATTAATCAACCCTGGGGCTCCCAGCTGGACTTTGTTCAGTTTTGTTAGAGTGCTTTCCCCATGCCATCATCAAGATAAACTGCGTGAATTTTGCTCAAAGTTCAAAATTCAGTTTTATCCAGAAATTCAGCATTGAATGAGTAGGTGTGCAGAAAAATTTTTTACACAGTCCTATTTTAATTCAGGTGATACCTAAATATTTCAAAGATGCTAATTTTGAGATACATTACTAGATAAGAACATACATGTGAAACCACTGGACTATGAATAAAGTTTACATGCATATTTAATTACGTTCTTCTCCTCTCAATGACCTTAACAAATGCTCCTCATACTCCTTCAAGTTTCCCCCCAAAAAACTTACTACCCTAGGAGAAGGAAGAAGAAGAAGAAACAAATGGACACAAAGAACACTACCTGTGTGAACATAGCAATAGTAATCATAATTAGCTGAAGCTAAGTTTTAGTTAAAGCTTTCTTCCCTCTGTGATCTCTGGACACAGCTATAGCAGAGAAAATCTCTGCCTGAGATTTTTCTGCCTGTTGTTTTCAGTCTGGATACGGACAACACTCCAGAGAGGAAGAGTGCAGAAGACATATTGGAGGAAATTACATCAGCACTCCACAGGGCTACAGAGAAGGGACACACACATAGCATAGCACAGAACTCTATAAAGCAGACCCTGTAAGTAGTAGCTGTGGTTATGTACCTCCCCCATATTTGGGTTCCAGCACAAGATCCGGTTGTCTTTGGCGCTACTCAACAGCAGTTCAGGGTCAGCCTGGCACCAAGAGACAGAGAGAACTCCCCTAAAATAGATCAGACAGAAATCAGTCATATTTCATACCCAGTGTACTCTCCCACCCTGTCACCAAGAAAGCTCACCAGCATTTAAGGTCAGAAATGCTAGTTCTCATCTCTACCCTCAATCAGATTCATCTGTGAAACAAAGCAGGCCTAGCAAAAAAATTGTGTTTCTCCTAAGTCCAATCTCCCAGATGTCTGCCTTTTAAAGATGAAGATCCTTGAAAAGGCAACACAACAAGCAGGCCCTCACCTCGTGTGCCCTTCCAGCTGGCTCAAAGGAGACGTAGCAAAGCGTAAGTCCCATATTTGGATCACTGGCAAGCGGTCATCCTCAGACGAAAGGACTAGCTGGGTTGCAACTTCTGGATGCCAGGCCATTCCTGAGCAATGCATCTAGGGACAAAAATAGCCTAGGCTGAAAATTCAGCAAAGCAAGCTGACAATAGCACAAATGGCCCAGAGCCACATCATTCTGCATTTAACTTGCCTAGAACGCTTGACATAAAGCAAGTCTACCAAAGTCTTGCTGTGGGAGACAAGTATTTTTACCTTCTCTACACAGCAAAAAAACCCACTAACCATACAGAAGTTGAAGGAGTAGTTCAAAGTTGACCTAGGAAGACAACTGGGATTAAAACACAGGAGGCTTCTCATAAATGAGCTGTGAACATAGAAAATGAATGCAAAGGTGCCCTAGTTTTAGGACCAGCTAGGGGTCTCGTTTCCCCATTTCGTTAGGGAGAAAAAAATAATAAATAAAAAAGAGATAGAGATGCGCTTTGATATTACAGCTCCAAGAGAACCAGTCCCAGCAGCTCCCACAATAAAAACACTTGATCCCAAGCGCCTGTGCCATTGCTTTGCAGTCATATGTGGCATGTTGTAAGCTAGTTAGAATGACAGCCTTTCCTCCACTCACTCTGTTGCTGTGGTCACTGACTTTGATGATAGGCTCATTCTTCCTGAGGTCCCAAACCACAGCCTTGCCGCTGGGGTGAGCGGAGGACAGGATATGCTGCACCTGCCGATTCCAGGACACCACACTGATGTCTTCATGAGGCTGCCAAGACAAGAAAGGCCACACATGTTGAAGGAACATCAGTCACAGGATTCTGTCACTAGCTTAACTAAGGGATTTGATGATATATAGATTCCTCTCTTCAATCACTGATCAACTAACTGGAAATATCAGCAGCGCTGACCAGAAAGAGCAGGGAACATGGGAAGTCCTTTACTCAGTGAGTACAGTGGAAGTACAGTCAAATTCTATGGGGGAATGTCACCTGGAGAAGCACCTTTGCATTTGGGGAGCAAGTACTGGATTCTGCACTGGCCAAATGTGTTATAAATCAGTCCATGAGAACATAGATGCCTCTACCCTGACTCCTGGGATGAACTTAAATGGAAACTTGACCTTGTGCAACATTTCAGGAGTGCAGTGAGGTGGAAAATGATGAAGCATTCAATGCTAATTGTCATTACTGCATCTACCGCAGTGCGAGAGAGAGCCAAGAAAACAAATGGGAGGCTTATTGGAAGAAAAACTTGGTCGCTTTTAGGCAAGTTTACTACAATTTTTACACTTTCAGGAGTTGATTGCCCTGAATAACATAATCAGCATAAGATGATCAGAAGCTTCTTCCTCTTCAAACTCAGGAAACATTATCTGGGAGTAATAGCCAAGATGGATTAAATGGCTCACTGGCTCTGCTAGGGATATTACTTTCCTGAGATATGAAAAGCTTCAGCTGAAGCCTGAAATAAATTCATTCCTCAGAGAAGGTCTAATAAACCTTCTTAATCCATCACACATGCCCCAGCTGGATCACAAGATAAACTGGTCAGTTACTTGATTCAAATCCACAAAGAGCTTACCCATCCATGCAAAGTGCATCCTTCCAGAGCTTGTCAGCCTACCCTCCCCACCCTTTACAACACTCTCCACCTCCCCAGAATGAAGCCGATCTGTTACTTCCGATTCATCTTTCTCCTGAGAGACATCAAGGTCATTCCCCCTTCACAGACTGACTAAACCAGGGTGACTCCATACAGTCACATCTTTTTGCCTTGCCTACTGAGACATAAAATTACAGGAGGATTGTCCCAAGGAAAACTTGTTTACCTGTGATTTAGCCCCTGGAGTCATAGGCACACTGAAGTTATTCAAGTCCCAGATGAAAATTTCAGAATCATTGGCTCCAGAAGCCAAGAGGTTACTCTAGAAAAACAGAAAAGCTCATCTGAGTTTCCAGCTCACAGGAAAAGAGGATGGATTTCTTAAAAAGAAAAGTAAGCAAAAACCCAAAAATCTTCTAAATTCAGATGAGAGCTGCATTTCACAGCCACTGGTAAGCAGAAAGATACTAACCAGATTATAAACCAAGCACATCTCTGGCCTCCATGCCTTCAGCTGTGACACAGTACAGATCTGTTTAAAATTTGCCTAGCAAGCTACATGTGCAGGAAGCTGCTGTAACTCTTCAAACTCTGCCACAGGCCTGGAAACCACTGTCTCTGGCCAGCTGAGCCTCTGCCCTGCATCCTGGCACCAAGGACGTTTCTTCTGAGAAGATGCAGGCTTCCCAGAAGGGTATGCAGGCAACTTTCAATTTGCCTTTGTGCTACCACGAGAATTTGTGTTCTGTTCACTACTTGCTTGAGTTGCAGCCCCTTCAAGTGTGATAGAGCCCCCCTGAATTAGACACCAACTGAAGAAATAAAAAAAAGTTCTGATTTCAAATGGGTAATGGTCAACCATAAAACAGTATTGCAAGACACATTTTTACAGAGAGCTAAGAGACTTGATCAAGGTCACATGGGAAGTCAGTGGCAAAGCTCTGAACAGAACTCAAATCTGAGTCACAAACCAGCCTAGTGTACCAACTACCATGCCTCTTTCAAGTTAAAAAACATTCCTTCAATTTATAAATCTCTAAACACAAGGGAAAACCATATTTTTTTACAGGAAGGTTAACTTCCCTTTGGTTATAAGTATCTTAATGTTGCATACCTGGAAAGGGTTGAAGTCAAGAGCTCGAACAGGACCTGTATGCTTCTCTGTCTGCCCAATTACAGGCTCGCTCTTTGAAGCCAGGATGCGGTGCACACTGTACATTGTCAGTACACCGTTATCCCCTCCACCAATGATCACACCGGAGGACTCTGGAGACCCATTTCCAAAGTTACCCCAGATCAGCTTATGAAACCTAAAAAAGAAGAAAATAAATCTGGCATAGGCCACAATATTTGGTGGAAGTCAAGACACCTTCTGCATTACCAAAAACCACATCCATGTTCTGACCTATTAAACATAACCATCAGTCTGCACCTTAAATAACCATTTTCCTTTCAAGAGGACTGTGGCTTTTGCATGCAAAAGAAGAAATAAGCTTCCTTCCAAAGACTTTTAAAGGGAACTTACAAAGAAGATCTTATCTCTCTTTTTTTAGGGTTTTTTTTTTTGTTTGTTGGTTTGATCATTTGTTTAAAATGTTTAGGACCTCATATGGGATTTGGTGGGTGAAATCCTCTAGCCTACACTACATAGAAAATTAGATTAGAGGACTATATGCCTTCCTTTCCAGAGCTGTTATCTGAAAAATATGTTTACTCCCTTTAAAATCTGCTAGTTAGAAATGAAGGCTGTGTTTTACACTAGGTGCAAATGTCACCCACACTGATGAGCCCAAGAAATCACCTTGTCTTAAAAAGCTAGAAGATAAGTTTCACTTTGCCTCTAGCCTCTTTATTGCAAATCATTAGCCCAAACAAATTCACACGATATAGAATGACTGACTACCATATAAGTCCTTTCAGATTCCTCCAGAGCAGTTGCTCTACTTTTACACCCAATTTGTGTCAAGGCAAACATTCAATTCTTGAAGACACAGGTCAACTGATCCAAAAGACCACCTCATACCCTGAAAACATGACCTCCTTCTCTCCCTTCTTGTACCAGAAAAGCCCTTTTCAGTTCCACTGACTGATAAATCACTATGAGCCTCTAGTACCTGTTTGAGGCAGGAAGTGTTCCTTTCTGCTTCATGTCCAGGGAGGGATCCCTGAAGTCAACCTCAAATATTTCCAAGGTGGCATTTGTACTGAAGGATGCATCCAGTTGCTGGGCAGATGTTCCTAGCAGAAGTACAAGGGCAACACAAGTGGGCACTTTTTTCAAGAGCACAAGATACAAAAAGAGCAAGGCACTGGAAACGTATTCTTTGCAGTTAACACAACCTTGGTGTTGTGCCTGTTCAAAGAGAGGACATGTCTGCATACCTCAGAAAGAGGAACCAACAATTATGATTATGGCAAAGACTTTGAAAGAAATTAGAACTTCTTCAAGAAACTCTGGGCACCAGGGTCACTCTTGCACAAATAACATTCTCTCTTGGGACAGATATGATTCATATACCCTTTTCCAAGCAGCCACAGCTTCTGATATTAAGTCCTTATCTAAGTTACAAATGCAGTCACACCATGAAACCCAGCTACAATTATGATCCCAAATACTTCTGTATACTGCTCCTCAACCATGACCAGATGTCTTGTTCAGACCTTCTAAACCTACTCTACAGCTAAAGTTCTTCAACCTTAGTCAACTAAACATGTCCCAACGACCCACAGACAGCTAGTGGTCACATGGTGGTGGCTTCCTTTCTTCTCCCTAGCTTACAGAATAAAAGCTAAAAATTAATTTAACATTGCCTAGTGGGACACTTCCAGGCAAACAGTCATCCAGCTACCACAGGGATGCTTTGTAACTGTCTATGGCATGGAAAGCACCCAAGAGACTATTAAGAAGTAGTACAAATTATGAAACTATGCAGTTTCTGTTCTAAAGCAGGCTGAAGCCAAGACCTTTGGTCCAACCAAAACTCTGGCCTTATTAGAGAAACACAAACCAGACTACCCCAAAACAGTAATGTTGCTTTTAAGGCAACAGTCGACCCTTTGTCACTTTCTTTTGACAGTCATCCCTGAAAAAAACCAATATGGCAGCGTTGCACAGGCCAGGCAGGAGACAGAGCTGACTAGTTCTCATGTTGGGCAGACAACTGTGGTGGGTTGACCCTGACTGGCTGCCAAGTGCCCACTAAACCTGCTCTATCAGTCCCCTCCTCAGCTGGCCATGGGAGAGAAAATATAATGAAAGGCTCATGGGTTGAGATAAGGACAGGGAGATCATTCACCAAGTACCATCACGGGCCAGACAGAATCAACTTGGGGAAATTAGTTTCATTTATTACCAATCAAAATCAGAGCAGAATAATGAGAAAATAAAAACTAGATCCTAAAACACCTTCCCCCCCCGCCTCCCCCCCTTCTTCCCAGGTTTAACTTTACTCCCAAATTCTCTATTTCCTCCCACACAATGATGCAGGGGGACGGGGAATGGGGGTTGTCGTCAGTTCATCACATGTTGTCTCTGTCGCTCCTTCCTGCTCAGGGGGAGGACTCCTCACACTCTACCCTGCTCCAGCATGGGGTCCCTCCCACAGGAGACAGTCTTCCATGAACTTCTCCACAAACTTCTCCAACGTGAGTCCTTCCTGCAGGCTGCAGTTCTTCATGAACTGCTCCAGCGTGGGTCCCTTCCACGGGGTGTAGTCCTTCAGGAACATACTGCTCCAGCACAGGCCTCCCACGGGGTCACCAGCCCTGACAGCAAATCTGCTCCAGTGTGGGCTCCTCTCTCCACAGGGCCACAGGTCCTGCCAGGAGCCTGCTCCAGCACAGGCTTCCCACGTGGTCACAGCCTCCTTTGGGCATCCACCTGCTCCAGCATGGGGTCCTCCCTCCACAGGCTGCAAGTGGAGATCTGCTCCAGTGTGGACCTCCATGTGTTTCAGGGGGACAGCCTGCATGGTCTTCACCAGCAGCTGCTCCAGTGCCTGGAGCACGTCCTCTCCCTCCTTCCTCATTGACCTTGGTGTCTCCAGAGTTGTTCCTCTCACATATTCTCACTCCTCTCTTCAGCTATAGTTCTGCACGTTTCCTCCCCCCTTCTTAAATATGTTATCACAGAGACACTACCACCGTCGCTAATGGGCTCGGCCTTGGCCAGCAGCAGGTCTGTCTTGGAGCTTCTCACAGAAGCCACCTCTGTAGCCCTCACCACTACCAAAACCTTGTAATGCAAACCCAACACAACAACCCAAGCTGTCAGTTCTACACAGACACTAAACTCATCTACTGCCAACTCAGTGAACAGTCTTTGTGCTTCAGGAAATAAAATTATTATAGCTATAGTGAAATAATGAATAATACCAACAAAATGCAAATGTTAGGCTTTGCAGAAGTATTGAAAATTGAATGTTAACTGAAACAGGCAACTTTAGGGAGAAGAGGTTTCTATTATTTGATTGTCAAGCCACATGATGATGGCTGAATAAAAGTAAAAGTGAGCTTAAAGGAACATGACTAGAATGAACTTTTTTCCCCCCACAGATATATCAAGTATGTAACCTTATTTTGTTTTATTTTTCATAGCAAGCAGGTGTCAGAGTTCATACAGACTTAATTAGAAATTAGATCAAAAAAGCCACGTATTCACCCTTTGAAAAAAATCACTGGACTTTAGGGTGTTAAAGTTGGGCATAAAAGTAATCCTTTACCGGTCACTTTTAAAAAAATAAAGGCTGTAATGTTTTCGGTATATTGCCTGTAAGTTTTCCAGAGATTATTAAGGTGAGAATTGTTGAAAGTTAAAACCAACACAACTCGACATAAAATCTCTCCGTGACTCATACTTTAATACTCACAAATTGTGAAGAACTTTACCTGTTGCTAGGTAAATGGGGTGGTTGTTTGCTGGACTCCATGCCTGGACAGCTGTTCGCTCAATTTCCTTTAGCTTCATTTTCTAGGCTCTAGAAGAAATTTCACACAGTGGTTAGAATAGCCAGATAAAGCCAACACGAAAATAAACACACCAGTAACAAGATATCCCTCTTACCAAGATACCATGAGAACAAATTGCTCTTAATAGAGAGAAATTACTTGCTATTTCCTGAGGAACTGAATACAGTTTCACTGGAATAAATTGGTATATTTTAGAAATTAATTTAAAAAACCACAATCCCAGCTGTCTGACCCCAGATTTTCTTTCACATATAGCTCTCTTTTTCATATACCCCAGTTACAGGAGGGTTTCAGAAAAAAGAAGGGGATCCAAATTAAACAACATACTCAAGTCTTCAGTCCAGGCTAGTTTAAATCAGCTGCAGAAATTAATTTAAACAAATGTATTTGCAAAGCACTAGTTGCTCTCTCTGAACAAGCTGATGTCAGTACATACACAGGCAAAAAAGGAGCAGAAGAAATCTCAGGGCAGGCTAAATTCCAAGCAGAAACGTGACGTGGCAACAGAAAACAAAGTGCAATGCGATCTTATGCCAATTCAGTTAATGTACTTTGTTCTCTCTCTTCTGAGAAGCAAAAGGAAAAAATGCTTTGACTTTCTGCTTGAGTTTGTAAATGGTAGGAAAAGGTGAGAAGCGATCCAGAAGTAACTTACTGGGTTTCAATCTCAGTTCTGACAACAATTCTTTTTATTTACCCTGGATAGATCAACTGACACCTGTAAAACGGAACGCAACAGAACTTCTCCGTGTCACTGGAGAGAGATTAGTTGGGCAATAACGTAGCAGGATAATTTAAAGTCAAACCGCCAGGAGGCTGCAAAATGGAGTTTAAATACAGAGTATTGTTCCATGTAAGATCTCATTCTCGCTGAGGAGAAAGCACCCAGCACCTCTCCATCCCAGGCTACGCATGGGCCTTCTAGGCATGTCAGCCACATAAATGATGTGTGGACATATCATTCACAGGCTAACGGGGTCACTCTCATGAGCAGTTCCTACACCTTTTGAGCTTGGCACCAGTGCAGTCTTTTAACTCTAGCCAAACAGAGATGCTAAAGATGCGCTCAGATGATATCATGCTGAATAAAGCACGACTGTCAGCAGGCAACACAGCAAAACACTCCGCATCTTGCCAGCTCGCTGTGATTAACCTCTCCTGGTTACTTGACACTGTTTGTGTTAGCTGGGCTGACAGTTAAACCAGAGTCTGCATCACGTGGTCCTCTCTGTTCAGATGCAGGGCTACAAGCGTCAGTGCTTCAGAGTTTGGCTTTACTCAGGCCAGAGCATGGATGTTTATTCATAACTAAGTTTATAAGGTAGCTTGCTGTGGCCAGCCCACTGTCTGGCCAAAACGTAAAAAAAAACCTCAAACAAACCACCCAGTTTTGAAAAAGCCTTCTGTCATCTTGTGGCTGATATGAAGCTCCTGAGACCTGCACAGGGGGAAATCTGGTCAGCATTACTTCTTGGGCTTGGAACTCCTGACTGATAACTCCACACCCTTCTTAGGGTTTCTTCTCCACCACCAGTCAGAAGATAAGGACATCTTCTCTCTCCTCCTAATGCACTATCAGGATATGCTGTTTGATTAGAACTTCTTTAATGCTTTTTGGCATTAGTCTGCAGCAATACATCCCAAAGCTCAAACTGCCTATTGCTATTCTCATATTAACCTGATCCCCACTTAGCTGAGGCCTGGAGGAATCCAAACAGCACCCTTGTACAATAAAACAAGTGCAACTACTTCCTCATGCAGCCTCGGAACAGAGGTGGAAAGGTCATCTCATCGTCATTACTGTAACAGACCTCTAAAGCTTACTTTCCAATCTTCCAGCATGTATTTTGCGGGGTACTCTTTAGGGCTCCATCACATCCTCTCTGCCAAGAAGTTTCAGCACTTACTCATCTGCCTCCCATACCAGTGCAGGTACGCTGTCCAGGTCTCCTCCCTTCATCAGCAGTGAGGAATGAAAATATAGAATCATAGAATCATTAAGGTTGGAAAAGACCTCCAAGATCATCAAGTCCAACCATCAAATATTCCCAGGAGTCAGGTCATCCTGCTAGCAAGAGCCTGCTGCCCAAGGCACCACCTGACTCCACTGATGGGGGGGAGCAGGACAGCTGATATGTTCCTTACCAGTCCCTTTCTTGCCTCCTCCTCCTCCAGTTGCAACCCATCAGCTGTAGGAGCTGGCTGTACACACAGGCCTCACTGCTCCTTGGCTTTTAAGAGGGCAAATCCCTGCGAACATTACTAGACAACGGCCAAGGACCTCTTCCCTCTAGAAAATTAACTGGTAAGGAAACAAGGAAGAGCACAACCATTATAAACTTAGCCAGGCAAATGGTACAAGCTCCCACTCCTTACCCTCTGTGCTGGACTGACTGCATGGCTGGCACAATTTGCATTTAACATGCAAACAGAGATAAGCCACAAAAACCACGCAGAACTGTATTGATCAGTTGTCCAGCTTTTCTTGTCTATAGAGCATTTTGCGTAAGAAAGTCAACAGTACTCCTTTTTTTTCCCACAAACTTAAGTCAGGACAGAACGTGAAGGTAAAGCATCTTGCCCACGGTAGCTCACCTAGACATAGGAAAGCAAACAAGGCACCATTTAGAGTGGCTCATTATCAACAGAACAACTGTAGAAGTGCCGGACTGAACAGGTATTGAACAGGTACACTGCGTCCCTGGTCCTCAAGGCAAAGCAGCAGTAGTGCCAACAGAGAAGGCCCACAGGAGATGCATAAGAAGCCAAAAGATCACAGTATCACAGCATCTCCTAAGCACCTCCTATCAGTTCAACTCCATTACAGCTGAGGTTCTGCAGGGATGCAGCAGCACCTCCTCCTTAAGTCAGTGGACTCTGAGTTCAGAAGGGGGGGGGGGAGAGAAGCCTGATTTGAGTCTTACTCTTAGAGAAGTGATCCTTCTATACACTGTGCATGTCTATATCGAGGACAGGACTTGCGATCCTTAAAGCAGGAAAAAGTCCTTCTTCAGCAACCTCTTGTGGCTGCCTGAGAAAAATTCACAAGTATTCAACTCTTCCACAGCAGGATTTTTAGGGAGAGATTGCCACCTGCTGTCATCTCCCAAAATAGCATCTAAGACTTCTGAGAAAGCTCGTGCTTTTCTCAGGACTTCTAATTAATTAATCATGGCAATTCCTCCTCCTCTTCCTTCTACAGACATCCGATTACAAATCTAACGTATTAACGAATCTGAGCACCAAAGGGAGCCGCGGGACAGTAGCAGCATTTCCCTGCAGCCTCCCCTGGCCACGGTTTCCTGTGCAGTGTCCTTAAAAGGTAACGGTGTCTGCAAAGCAAAACCCAGCAGGTCAGAGCACTCCCCACAGCTGGGAAATGGAGAGGACACAGCTGAACAGTGAAAGGTAAAAGCACATGTTCTCAAATCATGATGGACCATGTAAACAGTGCTGACAGAGGCAAAAATTCCTCACCTACGCTAACTTGAAATACTTGTGGTTGTTGTTGTTGTATCTGCGAACTGACTCTCAAAGCCACCACAATAATCATCCCTGGTATCACTCTCGTAAGGCCTTCTGTCTCTTGCACCACCCAAATACTGTCAATCAGAAATCCCTCCTACTGACTTTCCCAATCCTCCTCCTGCTGCTGGGCACGCAATCATTCCTCCCTGAACAGTTCCTGCCGATATTGGACTTCCAGCACAGCAGAAAAGGGAGCTGATAGCCTGAACCCCCCCCCCCCTTAACTAAAGGTGAAACATGGGCAGAACAGAAAAGACTTCTCCAAGGTCACCCAGGTGACAAGCAGCCACCCAAAGAACTGAAAAAGGCCTCTCAGCCATGACACAACGGTTAGGATACAAACCGTCCTACAGCCTCCACATCCCAACGTCAATTTAAAATCTTTGTACTGCCCCTTCCCTCTGCATTGCTCCGACATTCTCCTTTCACAGGTCCCCAATACGCTACAGCCAGTTCTTGTAAACGCTTATTATAAACCCCGATTACAGAAGGCAGAAGGTACAGAGACACTAATCTCAGCTAATCGTTGGCGTTTGCGAGGCGGGGTTGTTGCAGGGCAGGGCTCAGCACATTCCTCCATGACAGCTCCCATGGCCTATGAAGAAACTTCTGGTGCTCTGAGGACTTTCAAAAGCTACTGCCAAGTGCCACAGCACCGTACAGACGGGAGCGCGTACACACGCATCCCGTCGGCTTGCTCTGCACAACGGCATTATGCTGCGTGGTAGTGGAAAAGAGGGAAGGCCTAGGAAGAAGGCGTTGCGCTCGGACACCGGGCGGCACAAACAGGCTCTGGGCTACGCCAGAAGCCTCTCCGCTACCCGGGTCAAAGGAGCTTCGCTCCCCGCCTGCCGCTGCCCAGAAGCCGGCCCGCCGGCGGAGGGGAAACAAGGTG